AGTAGGAGGTGTGTGTGTGTGTGTGTGTGTGTGTGTGTGTGTGTGTGTGTGTGTGTGTGTGTTTGACTGTGTATGTGTGTGCTTCTAAGTTCAATAAGAGGACAGATGCAGAAGCAAATGTAAGGTAAGCTAGGGTAAACCTTAATGAAATTTGGAGAAGAATAACAAAAGGTGCTTCAGGGTTATTCAGGCAGGCAAACAAAAAAATAATTCAAACAGAGAAGAAAAATTAGATTTATCCAGAAGAGGGGGGGTTCATATTCCAATGAAACAATGAAGAAACACAAGGAGACATGCAGAGAGAAGCAAGAACACAGGAAGGTGCACAGATGAATGGACAGAGGGAGAAACAAAAGGCTAAATACAGCAAGGTAACTGGGAACAGGTGGAAACAATGAGAGAACCACAGGAGTGTGAACCACATCCAGATATGAAAGGCACACAAGAAAAGTAACTATCAGATTGACACAGGGAGCGATAGGAAAAAGTGACAAAGAAATTAATACAAAGGGCAAACAGGGTGGAAAGAAAAACAGACTAAAAAGAGAACAATGACTGGAACACTCCAAAAGTTGATTATGTTCATCTGGACATAGCGTTTTATGGGAGAAACATTTCGTCACTCATCCAAGTGACTTCTTCAGGCTCAGCTGGCTGCAGGTTTCGCCAACCTACTCCATGCTCAAACCAGCGTTCCTCCCTGTCCAGGATGTGTACATCCTCATCATTGAAAGAGTGTCCACTGGCCTATAGGTGTAAATAGACTGCAGAGTCCTGGCCTGACGAGGTAGCTCTTCTGTGTTGCGCCATCCGCTTCGCCAGAGGTTGTTTGGTTTCCCCGATGTATAAATCCTGGCAATCCTCCTGGCACTTAACAGCGTACACTATGTTACTCTGTTTGTGTCGGGGGACCCGATCCTTGTAGTGGATCAATTTTTGGCGCAGCGTGTTTTGGGGTTTACAAGCCACAGACCCGGTGTTTAGAAAAAATGTGTCTCAACTGCTCTGATACTCCTGACACATATGGGATCACTACAGGTTTTCGCTTAGGCAGCGATTGTTCTTCTCTCCTGGATCGGCTGAAGCTTTCTTTAGGCGCCTGCCCAGCTTTGACAAATGTCCAGCTGGGATAACCACATTTACTCAGGGCCTTCTTGATGTGATGTTCTTCTGCTTCACTGGCCGCTGTGTCTGTGGGGATGGTGTTCGCTCTGTGTTGTAGCGTCCTGATGACACCCAATTTATGCTCCAGTGGATGATGAGAGTCAGACCTTAAATACTGATCCGTATGCGTAGGTTTGCAGTACACATCAGCTTTTAGATGTCCCTCATTACTGATGGAAATCTCACAGTCTAAGAAGGCTAACTTGCCACTTTTCATATTCTTCCTGGTGAATCTGATGACTGGAACAGGACGATCGTGACCGTATTTCACGTTTGGTTGAATACTGAATTACTCACACTAATTCTGGGAGCCAAACAATAGTGCTTGTGTAGATTTTCTGTGCTGCAGGGTTGAAGATGTATGTGCAGCCATGTCTTTACTCAGTGTTGATCCCGGCTACATCTTTGTCTCTTATCAAAGTCAGGCTCGTGGGACATAAATCCATCTAGCACTTTTCATTCAATTTCTTTAAAATCTTCACTACATCATAGAAATCTGGCTAGAAATGAATAAAAATTTAGATTAACCCCTGTTGCCTTACTTACTATAAGAGAGTAATTCTTGCAAATTAGCAGTGTAACATATTGATTGCTTCCGTTTGTCTGTTAGTGCTTGGGACCAAAGAATCTTTTTAGGATAGACCAAAGACAATCACAATGACGTCACTCTACAAAGGCTAACAAGACAGGTTAATACATTTAACATGATGAACTAGTATTTGCACAAATTGCAGGTCGTGTAATGTGCTAAAAATGTGTCTTACACTTGAATTTCATCATCATTTTCTCACTCCTCTCTTTTGCTCACGCACTCTCTTTTGGACTCTGCGTTGTTCTGGCATGTTAGTAGCTCCTGGATGTCTATTATTTATAATGAAGCACCTTCTTATACTATCAGAGTCCATTGCAATGGAATATCATGATCTCTGTGAGGCTTAAATGCAATTTAAATAGTCCAAAAAAAGAAAAGAAAAGAAAAGAAAAGAAAAAGAAAGACAAGATAAATTCTCATAAGAGATGCTAGTGATTTGTCCACAGTGTGACCCAATCAGGTCTGACACTCGTGGACTTTGTTGTTCCCTCACTTGAGTACCAAGCACTCAACTTGGGTTAAAAAACAAAAAACAAAACATAAAACATGCATTTCAAGCTGGTGACTTAGAGTTTAAAAAAAATTGGTAATTTAGAAGGCAGGAAGTGTTATGAAAAAAGTTACTATTTGGTCAAATTATTAAAAATGAGGGAGTGTTTGTGGAAACTAGGAGTCAGGCTATATCAGGCTCTGCTACACTGAGTTTAGTCAGTCTTTATTTGAAATCCTTCAAATAAAGTACTAGAATATTCCCTTAATATGTGGAGCAAGTCTATATGCTGATATCATATTACTAACTTTGAGGCTACAGCACATGAGGAGTTCCCTCACAGTAAAAAAGTATGCCACCGCACAGCATTTATCAAAGGCAAATTTGGTTATCATCTTCAACTACAGAACTACAATAAGGATCAGCAGCCTCATGATAATCTTTGACAGCGGCACCATGTTGGTGTTGTTTGACTACCCCCTGCTGAGAACATGTGGAACTGTAAGAGAGGAAAGCAAGTCGGTGACGTTGATGTGATGTAAGGTTATAGTTGCCTGCACTTAAGCAGCCATCAGTTTATCTCAAGGATGTTTATCACCAAAGACAAGAATTTAGAGAGACTGCATTTCAAGCCAGCAGGATGACCCGTCCTATCAGTCTCTTTGTGCTGATAGTGATGACAATAATCCTGTGGGGTAAGCAAGGTGTGGTGTCAGTACGGTTTTGGTGCAGCAAGGCCTGATCTGTGCTGACACTGTGTATCAAGGAGGGTGGCTACAGGATATGATAAGCCACTCCTGAGCATTGCTGAGGTATCACAAGGTTAATTCAACAAAACAGCAAAGGCAGGGGAAACAGATGACGGCTGATATGGCCTACCCTACACTGAAGCTGTAGGTATAACACGCGGGGATTTAATTGGAAGGGGGAACAGAAAAGTGCAGGAGCAGCTTTTAGACCTGATGCACCTCAAGCATAGTAATGTACGACAGTAATGAGTGTATTTTATCCATCCATCCATTCTCTTCTGCTTATCCAATTCAGGGTCACGGGGTGGGGGTGCTCAAGCCTACCTCAAAGTGTGTATTTTAATTAACATATTTTTTATGTGTGTGTGTGTGTGTGTGTGTGTGTGTGTGTGTGTGTGTGTGTGTGTGTGTGTGTGTGTGAGCGAGCAGATGACCATCAATGATTAATTTCCTTTGGGATTAATAAAATTTTATGAAATGAGCACCCACTGCTCAAACAAGGTTTTCTTTTTACTGTAATTACTATGTAGTTATTTCCAAGGACTTCACAAGTAATTATATGTGTTTCATAGCTTCTCTTCATATCTTGACATTTAACCTTGGCTATGTGTCATCTTCCCACAGCCGTGATGTTAACTCAGGCATCACTCCCTCCACATAACTCTGTAAATTGAGAGAAAATGAGTGCATCCATGCTCTTCCACTTATCCAAATCAGGATCACAGTGGGATTGGAACGGTACATCCTGGATGGGTCACCAGGATTAAGACAGTGACAGACTATTTGTGTCTTTGGACTGTGGGAGGAAGCCACTGTACACCGCGAGAACATGCGCTCCGCACAGAAAAACCCCAGAATGGACTCAAAAGCAGGACCTTCAACAGTGCTAACCATCGCACTACTATGCTGACCATCCAGCCATCCATTTTCTTCCACTTATGAGAAAATGAGTTATTTTATATTAAGGAAGCCAGCTCATATATACACTATATAGCCAAAAGTATTCACTCACCCATCCAAATAATTGATTTCAGGTGTTTCACGCTACTAAATATTTCACAAGTCTGTTAGTATTAGTGGTATTATAACAAACTGGAAGCAAATGGGAATGACAGCAACTCAGTCATGAAGCAGTAGGCTATTTAAAATCACAGAGTGAGGTCTGCAGATGCTGAGGTGCATAGTTCACAGAGGTCACCAACTTTCTGCAGAGTTATAGCTGCAAAGGGTAGGCGGACATTATATTAAACTCTTTCGATTAAGAATGTCAGTCAAGTTCATATGTGTGTGAAGGCATATGAGCTAATACCTAGGGCAATATAGTATATTTGCACAAGAACTTTTTTTTAACATGCCCTCAATAAATAGGCAATTTTACAGACAAAGATGGTCGGAGATGTTCTTTTACTTTAAAAGAACAACTTTTTTATTTGTAAAGAGTTTATGTGTACTCTCATAAAAACAAGAGATCGTTGGCTAATGTTGCAGAATGGCACACAAATGCGAGTTCTATACTATTTATAAAGACTAAATATAAAATATAAATGTAAAATTTTTACCTATCTAAAAATTAGCTACGGTACCTACCTATATGTAGGTCCAATTCATCTCTTCAAGCATGGACAACTGGGATTGTCAGGTGGCATCTGGAACTGAACCATTAGCAAGGTGAGGGTCTTTTGGGATTGCAGGGAGCAGTTTAGCAGTGTGGCTGGCTTAAATGGGGGTTAGCTTGGCCTACATTAACCTGAGCTAGCTGGTAAACCCATATATAAGAAACGTCTACATGAATGCCAGGACCTGAAAGTAAACATTCAGGACCTATTTATTTTTATTAATTTGTTTAGGTAGTTTTGTGGTTGATTGGTTTGTACTAACATTACATTTTAAGAATATTTTAAAATAAAAGAAGAAGAAAAAGTCCTCCTCATGACGTCAGTACACATGGCCAATCAGCGCCATGGGAATCTCTCTCGGTCTCTCACTCACTTTGCGGCCGTGCGTGCGTGCTTGCGTGCGTGTGTCAACTAGTTGTTAGCAGAGCTAGCTACCCAGTGAGCTAGCTCGTTGAAACATTTTTTGTTTTTGTTTAGTTTTTGTTTTTTTACACAGGGTCCGTTTATACCAAGAAGCATTTGTTGTTCGTCATGAGAGGGGCCCACGGCTCCCCATACATGATGTTTGTCACCCAGTCATGCCAAAGAGGAGCACGGCCTCTCGGGAAAAACGATAAGTTAGCTAACGCCAGCAAAAAGTGAAGCTACAGTTTTTTAACAGCCGATTTCCTTCCTAGCTAGCATCCTGAGACGGAAAGCGCTGAGATTTTGCATGAACTGGATGCGGAAGGAGGATATAAGCCAACCTGGACAGCTATTGCTAACTATGAGCTATGCTGGGATCCAAAATCGGAGAACATCTCACTGTGAGCACAATTATTAAATCTATCAAGCCAGCGTGAGATAATAATAGCTAATGACTTTCACCTACCTATTAGCGGTTAGTGTTAAGCTGTCTTGTTTTAGGGTGACGTTACAGTTACCCAGTCAACGATAGGGACATCAAGATAGAAATGCTTGCTTATGCGGCCTAGCATTAGCCGGTAACTAGCATTAGGTATCCTAATGTTGTCTGTCAGGCAGTTTGAGGAGATAATCTTCGGGTTTAGGTCATGTTATCATATTCACTGAGGTCACTGAAACCACTGGCGGCTGCCCAGAGGTGAGAAATGCACAGAAATCTTTGTAATATACGATGAGCTGCCAGTTAGCTTGCTAGTGCCTGTCACAAAACTTAATCTAGCTGGCACAACAATGGCCTGGACGTGAACATAGGGAGTTCATGCTGTCGGAAAACCGAATATGTCAGATATGTCATATATCACATACAGCTGTTTTTGTTTGTGTGAAAGACATCTAATGGCAAATTATGTTTGTTATAATCGTTGTTTCACGTGCCATTGCTAGCTTATGTTATTCTTTTGCATTTATCGATCACTAAAACGATTCTGTCACTTCAGTTGCAATAAAGGATAATTAGTGTCCTGTGATTTAATGTAATTAAGTAAAGGACAGATGAAAGAAAAGAGTAAAATGTTAAAGTAAACATACTAAATAGACGTTATAAGTTGCACCTGAAACAAAAAGAGCAACACTAAACTTATTTGGTGATTTTTATTAGATTTTCAAGATTGTTTTTCCATAAAATCCAGTGTTTAAAGTGAAGCTTCATAAAAGAAAACTGACTAATTGTGATCTCTCTCACAGATGAGCACTTGTTCGTGCAGTCATTGGGTTACCAGTGTGTCAAAAAGTCACTCTGCTGATTACCCACCGAGGATTGGGCTAGAGTGTGGCAACGCTGGTGCAGGGAGGGAGCTTATACTGGCACAAGAATATGCAAGGACTCTTTATCTCAGCTGAAGTGTATGCATATATCTAAGACACAAAATTGCTGTGCTTGATGAAACAGTCTTGGTCAACCTGCCATGCCCCATGGACATGCCATCGTAGACACAAGATACCGTGGCTCAAACTGCTGCACAGTTTTTTGAGCTACAGCCTTGGGGGAAGCGTTTCAACTTTTAGTTGAACCTGAAGGTGGAGATGGGTTCCCAAGCTCTTCAGATACTGCGGCAGGGCGTGTGGGCTTCGCTCACTGGAGGGTGGTATGTGGATCCCCACCAGAGCACATTCTCCAACTGCTTCCACCTCTACCTTTGGATATTTCTCCTGGCTTTCCCCTTTCTTCTGTACATGGTAAGTTCATTTTCCTATCACCATAGGAGCTACCAAAATAATGCACAAATCCTTTTAAATCAGTTTTCAGAAGTTAGCCATGATGACATGATAGCTTCAAGTAATTTCACTTATATAGGTCAAATCACAAATTTACCTCAAGAAGTTTAATAATCCGTTTCTAACTTGCATACCCAAGCCCTTTTTACACATTGGCAACTTCAACTGACTTAATCATCTCCCAGGATTATCATGTGTAAAATGGGTCAAATACTATGTTTTGAATAACATAACTGCATTTTTTTAATGATGTAAACTATATGAGAGACTCATTCAGCACATATGCATGGGATAATAACTTTATAGTTTAACTTCTAGTGCTTGTAACAATAGGGGGAATAAAAACTAAGGGTGTTTGCCTGAACTTGTGTGGTTAAATTAAGATCCTGATTTAAAACAATTCCATAATAAGTTTGAAATATCCAGCTATATTTAACACCTCATTTCCAATTAAGCTTCCTTCCTGGTTCTAGTTCTTTGACGTGACTGCCTGGTCTCATTTTTGTAATTCCTCTCTTTAAATTCCAACTCCTTGTCAGGCTCTTCCTCCAAGCTTGTTGGTGGCAGGTGTGTACTCTGCTGTGGTTGCTGTATTTTTTACTGCCATTAAAGTGGTAAACTACCGACTTCATGCAATGTTCGACCTTGGGGAGATTGTAGAGAAAAAGCAGGCCTCACTAACAGCTGAAGTGCCAAGGACAGAAGAAGGAGAAGAGGGGTCAGGTGCTCATGAGGGGAATCAGCACAGGTAATGTGATGTGTCTTAAAGAAAACTTGCCTGTTGCGATGCTGTGACTTGCTGAATTCTTTGGGAAAAAAATTTCTTCCTGCATGTGACTATTTCACAGGGATAGTCATGTTGGTGTAGAGATGACTGTGTTTCGGAAAGTCAACTCAACACCCCCAGTGCGTTGCAGCTCCCAGCACTCTCTGTTTGGATTAAACCAAGTGTCGGTGAGGATTACCATATTTACTAGCATGCAACATTATCTCTTCTGGCTTCCAACATTTCTCCAGTTCTATCTATTAGAATTTTGGCACTAAGGCTTACTACAAGATGTAGCAAGCTTTAAAAGCTAGCAGGTGGTATGGCTACAGGCAAAAAATTAAAAAAATAGACAGCAGATGATTGAATAAACCAAGTTACTGTTTAACCCAAGTACACTTGTTGCTATGATCTTTCTAACTCGTAGCTCCTCATTAAATGCTAATTGGTCTGAACCTCCCGTGGCTTAGTGCCAGGTTAAAAAAATTTGTATTTTCCATGATCAGTATGCCTGTAATAGTAGTTTGCAAGATTTTTTTTTAGTTCAGTACCAAGCTAAGGGGGGATTTTTTAAGTACTTAGCGATGTTCTTATGGTTTCGTAATGCATAATCATGTGTATCAGGTGGTTTAAAGCATTGTGTATATTCTTTCTTACTCTTCAGGAATTCTTGCCTCAGTTGGAGGATTCAGGGGGTACTAAGGGTAAGCATCTAAATGTTTTAATTCTGCATACCATATTTTTATTTTAAATCATGATGTATATAATAGATAGTCTGACATTTTTATCCAAGCATATGTTTTAAATTTGTAATTTCCTTTTATTTCAGATATCAAAGAGTTAATGCGGGAACAAGGAAGCAATAATGTGATTGTCACGTCAGCTCAACGTGAGATCCTACGTCAGAGTTCCCAGGACCCCATTAGTAAGTCTGTTATGTTTCACTGTTTAGAAATGAGCATTAGATACTGGAAACAATGTTTAATCCTTCCTGTATAAGTCAGGCTGTAAGTATATCAGTATTTTCATACAAATTTAGGAAAGGGGGGGGAAAAATGGAATCTTGAGAAACATAATTCACAACGTCAGTGTTACAGCTTGCAAAAGTGCATTTCAGTCTAGGGGGTCCTTTTGTCCCTCTGTGGGGGGATACTCCCACTAGGTTTATATCTGGGACTCTCCACCATTTGACCTCAGAACTGAAGAAGCTTCTCGGATGAGAGGTGAAACGTCTTCAAGTAACTTAAAGAAGTCCAGACGCTTTTCTTTGCAAGCTCCTTTGACTACGATGACCTGGATGACTGAGAACCTTCATAGACATTTCAGTCTAATGTTTGGTTTTCTTACCGTACAGGGGCTCTGAATGGAGTCTCATCCTGCATTGTTGCCGCTCTTGGAGGTGAGTTCCAAGGTCTTGTAGGAGTATCTGGAGTGTCAGCTGGATTTGAAGAACCTGGAGCCTTGTCTATCCCCCCTTCACCCTCGAGTCAAGAAGATGGAGGCGAGAAAGAACACTTGCAAGAAGTGGAGATGTTAACAGAACAGTTGTCTCATCAGAGTTCCAAGGACAATGATTTGGGGGCTTACTCTCCCCTTGGCCCCTCTGCTGAATCTGAGAGTTTGGGAGATACTCCCCTAAGCCCTCTTATAAAGAGTAGTTTAAGTGAAGAACTCAGTGAAAATCTGCTGGGTTTAGGCCTTGACCCTGTGGCTTTTGCTCCTGGGACTGAGCTCCCCGGCAGCCGCAGCGGAGTAGCACTAGCTGCTGGATCAACAGACAGTTGTTTCAGTGCTGGTGGAGCTACCACAGACCGTGAGACGCTAAGCACTGTTAGCAGTTACCGCAGTGAAAAAACTGATTCAACTCAGCTGGAAAGTCCTTCATTCAGCCAGTCGCGACCTGTAGATGGACAGGTTTCTGCCTCAGCACCAGCGATAGGGTCTGACATCCACAAGCCCACAGAGGATTCAGCAGTGCAAGATGGCAGTGATACTGACAATCTGTCAGACAGTGTGTTACTACGCTCCCCTTCCAAAGAATTCTCCCTCAGCCAGGGGCTAGACCGGACACTTGTTGAAGGAGAGGATCTGCCATCTGTACCTTCTGATATTGCACAGCCCCCTCCTCTCCAGAACTCTTCCCCTTCAAGTAGTGGCCACTCAGAGGTTTGTGAATTGGACAGGAACGTCCCAGTTCCTCCTCTACCCCCACCTCGGCAGACCAATTCAGTGCCCTCAGGGCTGGCCCTGGGTCTGGTGTGTTCTGAGCCTGCTTTGCCCATATCTTCTACCCCATTCTTACTGTCTGAGCAGCCTGCTCTGCAGTCCCAGCAGGTTGTACGCCCTAAAGACTTAAAGCTGCTGCGGGCCAGCGGCGGTAGCATGGGGCACAGGCCAGGCCGAAGGAAAGCTCCAAGAAGGCGCGCTGGAGCTGGCAGTAGTAGTTTTGACTGTGGCTCTTACAGGCGTCACCACAATCATAGACAACACAGAGATTACATACCAGTGCGCAATCGACTCGGCACCAAGGCTTACAGTGAAAGTTTGTTTGAGGATTCCAGTGACGAGGACGACGGCAGTGACATGAGTGCAGGTTCTAGCCTGGGCTCTCAGCGCCGATACAGCTCAGATGATGATGACGATGATGATGATGACTCTAGTTCCTCTACCTCCTGCTACTCTCCAGACCTTGCTAACACTGGCATTACATCGACTCTTCCCCCTGCTGCTCAACTGCCTACTCCAAGGGAAGGGGATTTACCCGAAACTGCTGGCCCCTCACATCCTCGTGCTGCTCAACGCTCTTCTAGCACCGCTAGTGCTAAGACTCACGCAAGAGTGCTAAGTATGGATGGGGCAGGTGGAAGCCAGAGCAATGCAGTGGCTCTGCCCTCTACTCTGCTTGCAATGCCCTCCACCTCCACGCCTGCACCTCGGACTCTCACCATCTCTAAGTCTGATCTGGAAGCCCGGACTATACACTCTGATGGCTTTGCTGGAGCTCACCATCATCGCTTGGATTCACTTGGAGGCTCTTGGACTGGCAACCAGATGGGCTGGAGAACAGGAGAACTGGTTGAAGAGGGGGCTGTTGGAGGTGGTGAGTTTGCAAATTTTCAGTCAAGAATATATGTTTTAACTTACCCTACTGAAACAGTTTTCATCATGGTTTGGAGGTCTAACTAATTAAGAAAGTTAACCTTCATAGGGAGTCGCTGATAGTAAGGCCTATTTGTAAGGCATCAAATTGTTGCTGATATTTTTTTTCTGTAATATATTTGATGACAGACCACTATTAATTTGTACTTAATTTAATCACGAGTAATGACTCCATGGTGTAGTGATTAATATACCTTATTTGTGAAAGATTTTATTTAAGATGGCAAAGAGACACAAACCCAGCCTTGGGGTCTCACAAGCTAGTGTACTGTGATCTAACTAGATGTATCTGATATGATCCCTGTGTTGGTGTTGTCCCTGGTGATCATAATTAATATTGGTCCAGGTTCAACATTGCAAGTTATATTGTCATATGGAAAAAACTGCCAATGTGTACTAAAATCCAAAACGGGGCAGTTGTGGTTTAGGATGGGTTACGGTTATAATTATAGAGTTACGGTTATAATTATAGAGTTAAGGTTAGAGTTTGGTCCGAATTTCTTTCCACGTCGCAAAACCATGACATCACAACAATGTGATTGGTCACTTGCAATGATGAACCTGGCCCATCATTAGCTTCGGTGATCCTAGAACAACATTGGCACATTGATATCAGATTGTGCACTATACCCAAGCCAGTATAGAGGTGACTGTTGTGTCAGGAACTCCATCTGATATGAAGTCTGTGCCAAATCAAACATGGGTTCCATGTGCTGTGGCAATTCCTTTGGAAATAAGAGAGCAGCTGAAATTCTATTACTTTTTTTTTAGTTCCAAGTAACCATGAGGTGTGATCAGAAAGCTCTGGAAACGATTCTGTAAAAATCAAAAATCATGCCTGTATACCCATTCAAGAATATATTATACACTGCACCATTGTAAGTGGAGCTGCTATATTTACATCACTGTAGAAGTCCTGTTATGTCTTCTACTTATGTCTCAGTAGCGCCTGTTGGATCTACTCCAGTGTATTCCTTCAACTTAATTTTCATTTTCAATAAGTTTACAGTGTCACTATCAGACAAGTGTGCAATAAGAGCAAATAGTAAGAAAAGACTATGTTGCAATGTATTTGCAACTCTCATAGGCTCGTATTTTGTCAGGTAATTGTAAAATGCAGTGTTTCTTTTTCGGCTTTTCTGTTCTAAGATTTTGTGTAGAAATTTCACCAGAACCTCAATCTGTTTTGCAAAGGAAGTATGGTCTCATTAAGAGCTTGTTTGCACTTGGAGGGGCTGATGCCCTGCATAATCTGTTATCCTTCAGAGGTTGCTGGCGATGCAGGATTTTCAGCTCTGTGTGTCCACCCTGCAGCTGGATGTGAGACGTCATCTCAGCCGAATTTCTCCCAGATATCGTCTGCCTCTCTATTACCGGAGAGACCCAAAAGTGTTCACCGCCAGTTCCCCTTAGGTTAGGTGGTTATGAGGAAAACTAGATGCTTCATTGATTGGGTGGGGTGCTGTTTTCAAGTGGAGGGCCATAAATGGCACCTAGCCCCAGAGGCTTTGTCGCACATATATAAATTACTTGGAGCTGACGGCAGGTTTTCGGCTTTGGGGCATTTCTTGCTGCTCCTGAAAAATTGTTATGTCCTGATTAGGAGAGACAGTATAACAACAGTTGTGTATACAGACTGTCTGAGGCACTTGCTGTGTGACATTACACAGCCTGGCTCACACTCTGATTGTGTGGAGCAGTGAACACCTCCTGTCATTATGTGTGATGCATGTTCCCAGTGCATTGAACACTGGAGTGGAGCTACAGAGGAAATCCACTCTATGGGGAGTGGAGACTCAATCCCACAATAGTCCACCACGTCTGAAGGTGTTCGTATATTTGTTTGCATCATACAAAAACACAATCTCCTCTTTTCTTTTCCCTAAAAAAATTGAGGGCAAAACATTAGGGGAGCTCACCCATGGCCAGGCGCACTGCTATAACAGTTTCCCTGAGCAGGTTGAGGGAGCAGTGGCTGTCTTTGATTTTGATTGTTCCATGATGGATCTAACTTGTCTTCTCCACAGCCCGGCGGTGGACACTGCCTTTGCACAGGGGCCTGGTGTCACAGGTGTCACAGAGCAGTTAGCTGAGACTGGCACCTGAAAGGCTGAATTTAAATGAGTTGGGTCTCCCCCTGAGGTTGATTGAGACCATTCAGAGTGCAAGAGCAGTTTCTGTATTCTGACTTTATGAGGGTGTGTATTTGAGAGATGTGCAGCTGCGAACAAAATTTCTTATCAGTGCTGTGTTAGAATTGTGTTAGACTTCCTTCAGGTTTTGCTAGATAAGGGAAGAGCATTTTCCTCTAAAGTGTTTGGCTGGAATGTCAGGCTGCCATGTTGGCTTTGGTAATGCACCAAAGAGATTTAACTACAGTTTTAGAGTTAGTCTTAGTCTTTTTACAGCTTGCTTTAGCATCAATGAAAAATAACAGTAACTGTAAGTTGCATGCTCTATCTACCTACACATCATGTCTGTAGTTTTCAACTGTAATAGGGAGGTTTTGCACCCTAATGCTGCCTTCATGCCTGACATTAGGGATTCTACCTATAGCTGCCCTGCACAGGAGCTGTTAGCTTTTCGCCCCCTGCCATTTGGGGAATGACAGCCAGAGGTGGCTGATCTTTTGCGTGGATCAAGGGGTTAACCCCGGTTCCTTGAAAACTGAATGAGGTATCTCACTCGCACTTTGCCCATGCAACTGGACAGTGTCAGTAAGGCATCAATAGATTTAAAAAAAAAAAAAAAGAGGAAAAATGCTGACTGATATTTATTTATTTAGTCAAAATTATTTGACCTTTTGAATTTATTAAATTTAGTCATGAGTTAGTTGCTTTATGGTGTAGTAGTGGCACATAGAAGAACAGCACTAAGAATGCCTGGACCCCATGGTCTTGGTGATAAGAGCTTCTGTGGCTTGTCATGCCAGAGGGCACTTACCATAGTGAGATGCCGCATTTGAGCTTCAAAGAAATGAAGTTACCCTGGGCCCGTTTAAAAAAAAACAAACAAACAAAAAAAACCAAACTATTAACAAAATCCTCACAAAACTAAGCTCGAAATTAAGCAGGCAAAACAAAGGTATAACTGTATCTTTACGGAATAAAGCATGAGATTGGGGTTTGAAAGAACACATTCAAATTTACAGATGTAACAGAATCTGCTTTGAAGTGTCTGTTTTGTGCACAGGAACAAGAATAAAGAAAACATTTAGAAAATAATATTTTATTCAAATTTATTTTTTAGGTTATTCTATTTAATCAGATTATTTTAACATTGTGTAACATAATACCCTATATGGACAAAAGTCCCTCTTAATCTTTAAATTCAGGCGTTTTCACTCCCATTGCCAGACTTGCATAAAATCAAGCCCATAGCCAAGGAGTCTGCCTTGAGAAACATTTTTTCAAGAATGGCTCATTCTAAAGAGCTCACTGAGTTCAAGCATGCCAGCCAGTTTGTGAAATTGCTTCCATCCTAGATATTCCACTATCAGTAAGTGGTATTATTGCAAATTGGAAGCATTTAGGAACCACAGAAATGAAGGCTCAAACTGTGTAAAGTTATAGAACTGGCTTACTGACTGCATATAGTGCGCAAAAGTCTTCAAAGCTCTTTTGAGTCAATAACTGCAGAGTTCCAGAGCCCCCAGCACAAAACCATCAGCACAAAAACTTTGCACCAGCATTTTTGTGGCATGGGCTTCCACAGCTGAGCAGCTTTTACCTATATACTGTATGTATTAATGTCAGGTGTTTCCACTGTGTGTTATACTAGGGATTTTCCTAATTTCTTAGTCGACTAAATGAGGAAAAAAAAAAAAAGACTAACTGACTAGTCTGAAACTTAGGAACACTCAGGTAATAAGTTCCATTTGAGAAACTTTTATTGGAAAATGTCAAAAATTAATAACATAGGTATTTGAAACCATTTATCACATTCTTCAGTAATGAATCATGCCGCTTAAATGTGCAGCACCTTGCAGCATGCATTATCAATATTACACATTATACTCCAGATAGACAACAAAGATGAAAAACACTTAAAATAAACCGATGTTAAAGATGATACAAAACCAAACACGTTCCACTAAAATATGACAAATTAACATCTAATAAATCACGACTTAAAAGTCCCAAGCATTATGAATGATGCACACTGTTCGAAATTCATGACATCCACTTCAATAAAAGTTAGAATCTAAAATAAAACAATAAATCATCCATCCATTTTTTTTCTGCTTATCTAAAGTCAGTCAGACATCCTTAGCCGTCCCCTTTCAATGTGAAGGAGTAGCTGCTCTTCTTTGAACCCCTTCCGAATAACTGAATTCCTTACCCTATAACTAAGGCAGAGCCCATCCACCTTATGGAGAAAGTTCCTTTCCACTGCTTGTAACAATGATCTCATTCTGATAGTGTTAACAGAAAGATCAGGCCTAGATTAACAGATTTAGTTTCCCAACAATGATGTGCCATTTGGTGGCAAATGGGTGCACAACATTTAGGACCCAATAATATACCGACATTTGGCATTGATTAAAAGTTTAATAATTAGATTAAACCACTAGTAAGTCTGGTACCAACTAGTGACAACAGCAACGATTAGTCAGTTAGTCGACTAGTCACACATATGCCTACTGTAGGAATAGTGAAAGGTAACTAAAGCACAGTGTTGGGGAAAGTTGGAAATATTAATTAAAATGTTGACTGCTGTGCTTAAACTTTATTATTTTAGTAGAACTCCTTATTATGCAAGTTTACCAGAAACATTCAGGCATCATCCAGCTTTTACCTCTTTGTACCTGAGTCATGAGAATGTGAAGAAACTATGCAAAATATTTTCTACCATCTTTTGGTGCCATTTATGGTCGACGTGCAACTTATTTTTAGCAAAGACATAGTTGTTTAGGAGGTGTTCCCATCTGCACTAAAAGATGGTTTACAAAACTGTTAATCGAATAAATAACTTTGAATGAAAACCCAATAAAGTTTTATTAAACTGTCTGTTTAACAAATTATATGAATATTTTAAACACCCAAAAAGCGCTTGTTAGGCTAATTTGATAAAGAAGTTAAAACACAAGCGTCACTATAAACACTAACTGCTAACTTAATTTACCTCTGCAAATTGCCAATTTGGCTGAGGCTGCAGCTGTGCTCTTTCTCTAGCAGCAAAATCCAATGAATCCTCATCAGCAGCATAGGAGAGGAGAATGAGATGGCTGAAAGCATCTGATTTCTTTGTTATTCACTCACTGTCTTCATTTTAAATATTTTTTTGGTTTGACAGTTTGGAAAAGCATGAGTGAGATATGTGCTGCTGGTAAATAATACTGTTGTGCTCAATTACAATTCTGTTCAGATGTTTTTCTTTTTTATAAAATGGGAGTATTTAAAACAATGTTTAGCAATGAAAAATGACCGAAAAGACTACTAATACAAAAATAAGAAGCATCAGTAAGATGAGTATAAATTATTGTTTAAACCCTGATTACCACCTCACTGCTGAGACCTCAGTAACCGATCACCCCTAACACATTGAGGCAAAATCTTTTCATTAACCCATGTCCTTGCTGCTAACATGGAGTCATGCTTTGAAAAATTTCTAATAAATTAATTTTAATTAATAGTCTGGTGTGTGAAACCTAACTATCTCTTAAGCTTTATACTTATTTATTTAATAAATGAATAAATAACATAAGGACATTCTAAGTTCTGAATTAAGATAAAATGCAGTTATAGTTAAATCTTAGATATGTGCATTATATACACTGACAATGTGATGTAAATGATAAACTTTCCTCAGCCATGGCCACGGAGGAAGGGGGCAAACACGAATCAGTCAGCAGTGTAAAGAGGACCCAGGCCATACGCAGGAGACACAATGCTGGGAGCAACCCTACACCACCACCATCTACCATGGGATCTCCTCCCAGGTTTGTCATCTAAGCAAAGATGTCCCTATATTTCTGCCATGCCTTCCATATTAGTATGTTTACATTATAATGGACATAAGAATAACAGCCCAGATTAAAATTTTGTCTATATAAAGTCGTATTTTCATTAAATAATTCTAATTATAGCTCATGGAGGATGTGAGCTTTAGGAGGACTGAGTTTAGGATTAAGATTAACTGCTGTATTCATTTGTTTGCTTCCTGCAGTCTCCAGGACCTCCAGCGAGCTCGGACCTCCTCTCATTCACGCACCCGTACACTTCCCTCAGCCTTACAGTTTGCCTCTTCACTTCTACTACCCCGCAGTGGCATCCATGAGGCTTCAACATTTGACGACACATCAGAAGGGGCAGTGCACTATTTCTATGACGAGAGTGGTGAGTACCTTGTCTTGTCTAGACAGTCATTCTGTTTATCCTATTATTAAATGGGGAGATATGAGACTGAATTCATGAACAGTGGACTCTCCTTGAGTACCGATTCTTAGGACTTGCTACCTTGAAATGTTACCAGTCTGTTATTTGAGCTATTATTTTGAAGCATTATGTAAAGTAATTGTAATGTAATGGTCACTGGTATTTGAATTTACATAAAGAAAATCACTTGTCAGATTGCATTATTGTATACTCTGTCTGTGATTGCAGATTTTACACTGTTGAGGGTATTCATTTCTGCTGTGTCTCTGTTATATAACAGGAGTAAAGAGGTCCTACACATTTGGACCTGCTGGAGGCGGCTATGAGGACCCAGTTCAGTAAGTTATAAAGTTTTTATTGCCAAGTGTCTTTCTTTTCTACAGACTACGAGAGTTATTGTTGTCATTAAAACATTACTAACAGCTACATTCAAGGCTGTGAAATTTTACACTTGCAGAGAAAGGGAGAGGCAGTCCCAATCTTCAAGCTTCACATCCACTGAGGTCCCAGAAGGGGCACCAGTCCTGTCCATGCTACAGCCCAGACAAGGGGCTTTACAGGGGATGCAGGTGCGCAGGGTGCCTCTGGAGATGCCCGAGGTTAGCAGTGCTTCATTGATTATTCCAAATAGGACATCAGTCGGCACATCAAAGCTAACTATCACAGACGGTCCTTCTAGATCCTGTTTCCTAATTCACACAATCTCTGAATTCTTACCTAGTTTGATCTGGATCACGAGTCTCTACAAGAGTCCCAAGAAAACACTTTGATGATTGAGGAGAAAGCCAAACCTAAACAGTACTATCGCTTTTGGGTGCTGCCTGGAAAGTGGCTGAGAGTCCGATATGATCGACTGGCTCTGCTTGCCTTATTAGACAGGTAAGACAAAACATTGGAAAAGAGAATGGATTACATTTTATTTAGTTACTTTTCTCTGTGACAGCAAAGAAAAATGTACAAAATGTACTCTGTTGCCCCTCAAATAATTAATACATAACAACATTTGTTTTTGTTTTAGTTTTGACAAATTATCAGTTCAAGTAAATATTTAACTTATAAAAGCAACTGAGTTCACTTTTAAACAGGTCCATGGTTTTGATTGAGAATTGATAGAGAAGATGGATTAACAAGTCCAACAAATTTGTTCACTCTGTATCATTTCTGAAGGCTGCTTTTCCTCTTACACTGAAGCAAAAGATTTTCATTCATAAGCGAAGTTCTTTTAAAGGATCAATTTAAAATATTTTCACTAAACAACAACTCAGAAAAATGTTATCCTGTGTTTTTCTTTCAAATACATAGAAGCTTGTGGCATGATATTATACAGGATGCATTGTAAACTGATTTAGATGAAACTTTAAGGTTTTACTATAATACTGATACTCGTTTTTTTTTTTTTTTTAATGGGTTGTTTCGTTTGTAATGGATGAACCTCCTCATTGTCACAGGACTTATGTCCAGTGGGATATTGACTTAACACTTAATACACATTTGGTTTAATTTTTTTCATGAAGCACATTTTATTTACAAGTCAAAGACAAAATTTAGATATAATTTTGAGGTTTCTCAAATATGTACTGCTGCACCTTACTTTCCCAGGAACCGCCGTGTGGGAGAGAACGTGTTTGCTGTGGTGCTGGCCAGCCTGGTGGCATTCCTGGGGTTCCTGCTGCTGCTCCAAGGCTTTTTCAGGGACATTTGGGTCTTCCAGTTCTGCCTGGTCATTGCTAGTTGCCAGTACTCCTTACTGAAGGTACCTCTTATTTATGTTGTTTCTCTTACCAAAAGTCTTCAGCAAGTAACTTAATAATCGTCACTGTATGACCAAAACTTGTGTTCTTACAATGTCATAACATATAAGTGCTCAGTCTAAACTAAACTCTGAACCCCCGTTTGGTCCTGTGAAAATCTCTAAACAGATCGCGCAGGTGGAGATTTGGCAAAATCATATCCTGTCGAATTTAATCTTACTTAGAGCTTAGAGATTTGATGTTCATTTAAAAGAAAAAAGGGGGAAAAACAAATGGTTGTCAGACTTAGCCTATGTAAGACCGTTATAAGACTTTCTCTTACAACGCATCCTCTGTCAAGAGTACAATAATTGTGCAATTTAAAACAAGTCCAGTAATATGATACTGGACTTGTTTTAAAGCAATCTTTTAACATCATTGTTGTAGGAAGACTAAGTGCTCAAAATCCAGTCCAAGGGTCACAACAATTTTCAGTTAACCTGGTTAGCTAGAGCCAAGCAATTGTCGTTCCTATTTTTAACATACACGTGAAAGACATGAAGCCTAAATTCCCTGCCTCTTTGTTTTAGAGTGTACAGCCAGATGCAGCCTCTCCCATGCATGTGAGTAGTAGATTTAGGAATCCACATTTTATAAAATACTTTTGACCTTAAAATTATGGTATAACGTTGTTTCTCTCCTTGTCTGTTATGTAAAAGGGGCATAACTGGATCATTGTGTACAGTCGGCCAGTCTACTTCTGCTTATGCTGTGTGATGATCTGGATCTTTGACTTATCTGGGCGCTCTGGAAGTCTGCAGCCCTTCTCTCTCTATGGCATCATCATCTTCTCTGCGCAATTCCTGCTCTGTGTCAGGGATGTGCTCATTGGTTAGTATTATTCATGGATTCTTTTACATCAGGTTGATGTTCAGATTGACAGTGCTAGCATTGCTACATGCAGGTCTATCTTTCTTATTGCAGTGTTAATTAAATAGCCCTTAATATATCCTGATTGTAACACTGCTTTATGCAGGAGGAGGATTAGTGGGTTTTTAAACTGTAACCCATTTTTAAACACAATTTCCCCTCTTTTCATCCAACAGTGTTTGCCCTGTGTTTCCCAGTCATTTTCCTGTTTGGGTTGCTACCTCAGGTCAACACTTTTGTGATGTGTCTGCTGGAGCAGATTGACATGCACATTTTTGGTGGAACTGGTAAGAATATTATTACACGAATGGGATAATCGAATACTTGGAAGTTGAAAGTGTTAGACCATTTTTAGGAGGACAGTTTAAAAACCATGTGGTTATTTGAACACATCCTTGTGTTTATTGGTACATTTGAACACAGCAAAGTTTGTTTTGTTTTTTTAAAATGGTCACTACACACTATCACAGTAGGCAGTTAGATGTATGGTTATTGTTTCCGCCTTGGGAAGGCCTGGCTTCAGTAAACAATGCAAATAAAAATTTTTAAAAAATGAGAGATTCTGCTTGTGCATTGCTCAGAGAAACTAGTAAAAACAAATACTTTGAGTATTTCTGCCCAAACAGAATAATGAGAGTTGTCTACCGTTTGTGTCGTTGTGTCTCACCCATACCAGCCTAATTGTGTCTGATCTCTCTGTATTCTTTCCTCAGCCACTACCAGCCCCCTTTCATCTCTGTACAGCCTCATACGCAGTGTGCTGGTGGCTGCCCTGCTGTATGGATTTTGCCTCGGTGCCATAAATGTAAGTTGAACCGACTGACTGTCCCAGTTCGCACCTGTTATTAATGTGCGTCATGGGTGATCTGATCACAGGTAGACTGCTTACTCTCCACATATGTCTCAAGTGATCATTTGTGATTGCGTGTCACTTCCCGGCTCGGCATCTATGCAGACATACAGTATTATGTGTGTGAGCCACCACTCTCTTCTGCAGCAATTTATTGAAAAATGAGGAAATACGGATCATATGCAGGGCAAAAACGGAGTTTGTACAATTCTTATGAGCTTGATAGTCAAAATTTAGTATGAACACCTTTATTTTTTAATATTATGACCTCCTAGGCAAGCATTGCTGTAATTGTTAGCGCTCAGCTGTAAAAGGCTGATGGGGTATTGTTGTCACCCCTCTGGGTGGGTGAGCAGGTGACGTGAATACAGTAACTAACTAGAGAGTGAGGCGATGTAAGGTTTTCAGTATGGTCGAATGATTCATTGGTCGGTGCTAAGCGGCTTAACAGAACATTCTTGTCCAAGGACTGGCCTGAATGAATGAAAAAGCAGCCAATGGCCAAAGAGAAAACTTTGAAAGCCTGGATACCTATTGCTCAAGATCACTTTAAAAATTACAGGTCTAACTCCTTCGAAGCAAAATATAAAGAAATAAGACTGTGTACTGTAAAACAATATTATTTCAGTGACAAGTGGGTTTGATTTTTAACTGGTAAAAGGTAGAAATGCACTTCCCCTGACTATTCAGCTGGAAATTAAAAGAAGAAATCAAAACAGTGCAAGCTGTGTTTCTATTCCTTGACATGTTCAGGCAAGCCAAGTCGCCAAAAGAGCTGTTAATGTGTGATTATGTTAGTGTCAGGTGTGAACTTACTGAACACGACATGGAAGAGTTTGAACGTGTTTTTCCTATTACAGTCGTCTATTTGACTCCCCCCCCCCCCCCCCCCCCCTTTTTTTTTTTTTTTTTTTTCCATCAGGCACCGTGGGGGGACGCCCATGTTCCAGTACTGTTCTCCGCGTTTTGTGGGCTACTCCTGGCCTTATCCTACCACCTGAGCCGCCAAAGCAGCGATCCTACCATCCTTTGGTCAGTATTTCCTGTTTCATATCGGCAATGATGGTCTTGGGAGTCTTTATTGAATCTTCTTTTTAGATCCAGAATAGATTAACAGTTACTTAAAGAAGTCTATATAGCAAGATAGATAGCAATAGATAGCAAGTCTAAAGTGTAGTTTGTGTGTTTTACAAAGTTAGCTACAATCCAAGACATAAAAATGATGCTGTCTTGATCATCTGTGAAGACTTTGATGATAGATTGTATCTTTCTGTGGTATTTCTTGTAACTCTTTCTTTTATGCTTTTTACCCGTAACATCAGGTCACTGGTCCGGTCTAAATTATTCCCAGAACTGGAGAACCGAAACCCAGAAGAACCCCCTGTGGAAATCAAGGACCCTCTTCCTGATAAGCTACGCAACTCTGTGGTAACTACTGTTGCTCACCAGCCTGCAGTTTAATTTTTATGTAATGATTTAATTAGCTTTAAAATCAATCTGTCTATTTATAGAAAGAGATTCTTCATTCGGACCTCGTCATCTGTCCCCTCATGGCTGTGATTACCTTTGCCATCAGTGCCAGCACAGTTTTCATCGCTCTTCAAGTTAGTTGGAGCAGTATGCATGACCTTACTCTCGCATCATTTTTGTATATAGACTTAATTAAAATGTTTCTCTTTTTGCTCTTGCTCCGCAGCCTGCTCTTAGCGTTGTCTTATACATCCTGGCTGGAGTTGTTGGCTTCATTACACACTATCTCCTGCCTCAGCTCCGCAAACAGCTGCCATGGTTCTGCCTGGCTCACCCTTTGCTCCGCTCCAAAGAGTATAGTCAATTTGAGGTCCGAGGTGGGTGTCTGATTGCATCTTTTATCTTCATTCACATGCACAGAAAAATAACAACATCTAGAAATACATGTATAGTATAACAGGCTTTGGAAACTGAAATGTTATAAGTTGTTCTAATTACAAAAAGTAAGATCTCCAGCTGAAAGTGCTCTTGAGAAAACACTCCCGGCAAACTTCATAGGCTGCTTCACCAGACAATACATAACTATTTTTAAACAACAGTCAGCTGCATATTTTGAATATGATTTGAATATCATTGATTAATTAAGTAATATATATTAAGTAATATATACACTCAACACTAAAAATAAATCAGTTATTTTATCTCAAGATTTTTGTGTTAGAAGTTGTTTAAAATGATCAAATTACTGTCATGTCTTCTTGAGTTTATCTTTAAATATTTTACAGACAATTTTTGCAATGTTTTTAATAGTGCTAGTCAGCCACAACTTTAAAAGCATCTGCTTAATATTGAATAGATTCTCCTTGTGCTACTAGAATAGCTCTGATTCATCAGAACATGGACATTGGAGCCTTGGGGTGTCTGGCACTGAGATGGTGACAGTGATAGTTCCTGTGGGCCAGTTTAGGCTTGATTTTTGAAATTTAGTGGGCAGGCCTGGTCTCTTTATTGAATTCTTCAGGCAATTTCTAAGCATTTTTGCAGTGTGGTAGAGCATACAAGCCTGCTGGAGGAGGATGGGTGTTTCTGGGAGTATCGTTACAACCCAGAAACATCCACATGAATCCCAAGTGAGTAACACTGATCTCACAATCCTGCAGTGATGATCAGATCAGTTTTATTCATGTCATCTGTCAGTGGTTTTATTGTTGTGGCTAATTAGTGTATTGAACCTCTTTTAAAACTTCACTTTTCTTTTTCTTCACAGCTGTGGTGGGATATCTGCAGTTTGTGAATTACTCCACATTTGTAACATATTTTTTTTTCTTTCTGTTTGACCCAGATGCTGCTCAGTTGATGTGGTTTGAGAAGCTGTACGCATGGCTTCAGTGTGTGGAGAAATATTTTATCTACCCAGCTGTAGTGCTGAACTCCCTGACCACCGAAGCTCGAACAGTGGGCCAGAATCACAAAGAGCTGGACATCTAGTAAGCATTTCCTCGTCCTGGTTCTGTTAATATTTTAAATGTTATACTGTTATACTTTTCTTTATCTCTGCTCCCTGTGAACATGTGCTGTCTGCTGGATGTGTTGAACTCTCCCATGTGTGCCTTATGTCCCATCTCCCTCTACTGTCTTCTTTTTCCCATCATCCCCAACCGGTGGTGGCAGCTGCCCCTCCCTGAGCCTGATTTTTTTTTTTTTCTTCTGGTCTTTTGATAGTTGGTGTTTTCTCTAATATTGTACCCCCTTTCCCTACAGTATAAAGTTTCTTGTGGGGACAGTTGTTGTGATTTGGCACTATATACATCCATTCGAATTGAATTGAACTCTTGAAACGGGTGATTTTAAAAATGTGAACATCAAGAGAAATTTGTCAGGTTTTATTTCATTAAACAGTGTAGTAGTATATTGTATGTTACCTGTGATTTTCTTTTCTTTGAAGAAGTAGTAGTTTGTTTTCGTCATTTTCAAAAAATGAGTGTGAGAACCACAGTGAAGATTTTTACAGCAGTCTTTGCAGTCGTGTAAAAAACTGTGATGATTCAGTAGCTTTTAAAGCTTCAGTTCATTCATTTTTGTGCACTTTTCTTTGTGCACAGCTCCATTAAGGTCCCACCACAGCATTTCAGTTAGGTTAATGTCTGGACTTTTTTGGGGCCATTGCAGCATCTTAATTTTTTTAATTTTCACACATTTTGTGTAGATTTGCTGCTGTGAGTGGAATTATTGTTCTGTTGCACCAACTCACTTTTGGCTAAGGACACACTGGCTGATGCTCACTTAATGAACTTTTTATTAGCAGCAACTTGCTGCTACTTACACTCTTACAGTGGGGCAAAAAAGTATTTAGTCAGCCACCGATTGTGCAAGTTCCCCCACCTAAAATGATGACAGAGGTCAGTAATTTGCGCCAGAGGTACACTTCAACTGTGAGAGACAGAATGTGAAAAAAAAATCCATGAATTCACATGGTAGGATTTGTAAAGAATTTATTCGTAAATTAGGGTGGAAAATAAGTATTTGGTCACCTCAAACAAGGAAAATCTCTGGCTCTCACAGACCTGTAACGTCCTCTGTAAGAAGCTTTTCTGTCCCCCACTCGTTACCTGTATGAATGGCACCTGTTTGAACTCATCATCTGTATAAAAGACACCTGTCCACAGCCTCAAACAGTCAGACTCCAAACTCCGCCATGGCCAAGACCAAAGAGCTTTCGAAGGACACCAGGAAAAGTATTGTAGACCTGCACCAGACTGGGAAGAGTGAATCTACAATAGGCAAGCAGCTTGGTGTGAAAAAATCAACTGTGGGAGCAATCATCAGAAAATGGAAGACATACAAGACCACTGATAATCTCCCTCGATCTGGGGCTCCACGCAAGATCTCATCCCGTGGGGTCAAAATGATCATGAGAACGGTGAGCAAAGATCCCAGAACCACACGGGGGGACCTGGTGAATGACCTGCAGAGAGCTGGGACCAAAGTAACAAAGGTCACCATCAGTAACACACTACAACGGCAGGGAATCAAATCCCGCAGTGCCAGACGTGTTCCGCTGCTGAAGCCAGTGCATGTCCAGGCCCGTCTGAAGTTTGCCAGAGAGCACATGGATGTTACAGCAGAGGATTGGGAGAATGTCATGTGGTCAGATGAAACCAAAGTAGAACTTTTTGGTATAAACTCAACTCGTCGTGTTTGGAGGAAGAAGAATACTGAGTTGCATCCCAAGAACACCATACCTACTGTGAAGCATGGGGGTGGAAACATCATGCTATGGGGCTGTTTTTCTGCCAAGGGGACAGGACGACTGATCCGTGTTAAGGACAGAATGAATGGGGCCATGTATCGTGAGATTTTGAGCCAAAACCTCCTTCCATCAGTGAGAACTTTGAAGATGAAACGAGGCTGGGTCTTCCAACATGACAATGATCCAAAACACACCGCCCGGGCAACAAAGGAGTGGCTCCGTAAGAAGCATTTGAAAGTCCTGGAGTGGCCTAGCCAGTCTCCAGACCTCAACCCCATAGAAAATCTGTGGCGGGAGTTGAAAGTCCGTGTTGCTCGGCGACAGCCCCAAAACATCACTGCTCTCGAGAAGATCTGCATGGAGGAATGGGCCAAAATACCAGCTACTGTGTGTGCAAACCTGGTAAAGACCTATAGTAAACGTTTGACCTCTGTTATTGCCAACAAAGGTTATGTTACAAAGTATTGAGTTGTATTTTTGTTATTGACCAAATACTTATTTTCCACCCTAATTTACGAATAAATTCTTTACAAATCCTACCATGTGGATTCATGGATTTTTTTTTTCACATTCTGTCTCTCACAGTTGAAGTGTACCTCTGGTGCAAATTACTGACCTCTGTCATCATTTTAGGTGGGGGAACTTGCACAATCGGTGGCTGACTAAATACTTTTTTGCCCCACTGTAATTCTCTAGGAATTAAAGGTGGATTTAGTTTTTCTGTATAAAGTGTTGCGAAAACCTTTCTTTTCACATCACTGTAAAATTATGCACACTTCTCTGCAAACTCTAAAGAAAGGGGTTAAACTGTAGCACGTACACGCAATCACTAGCACCTGTTGTTGAATAATCATTTCATTTCTTACTCTGTTGTTGTAACCATATGTTAGCATATGTTGATTTTTTTCTTCTCTCCCCCCCCCCCCCCCCCCTCTCTTCCTCGAACCCTCCAGTAGCCGAGCTTTCTTTATCTCGGTAGCTGGAATGAAGCTGCTGCGTTCGTCCTTCTGTACCCCATCGCAGCAGTACGTCACACTGTGCTTCACCACACTCTTCTTCCACTACGACTATCCACACTTCTCAGAGACCTTCTTAATCGATTACTACTTCATGTCCATTCTCTTCAGCAAGGTTAGAAAAATTTCGTATTTGTAGCATTCTTTCGTCACAAATGATTTTGTTCTACTTTAGAAACAGCTTCCTGCACACAAATAGTCTTAATCGTCTTATTTCTGTAGCAAATATGAATACTATTTTTACATGCGCATGTGTGTGAGAGTTGATAATGATGAATGTTTGAATGTTTTCAGATGTGGGACCTGCTGTACAAGCTGCGTTTCGTGCTGACCTACATTGCCCCCTGGCAGATCACTTGGGGCTCAGCCTTTCATGCCTTTGCTCAGCCCTTTGCTGTGCCCCGTATCCTTATTCAGCTTGATTTTGTGATAGTAGGAATACACCAGTGCCAAATTTAAGGTTGATAGAGTATAAGATGGCAAATTGTAGCTTTAAGATGTGACAAAGGTATTGTATGTTGCAAGATTATTGAATTGTTTTGCATTACTGCACAGAGGTTATTGTTATTTTGTGCTGTATTCTTTATTTTGATAGTCTTAAGTGTCAGTGAAGTTATTCAGTGGAGATTTTTGTTTTGCTTTGGGGGTTTTGGTGACATGTCCTTAACTCTTGCTATTTCAGACTCTGCTGTTCTTTTTGTCCAAGCTGTCTTTTCTGCCATCTTCTCCACACCTCTCAATCCTGTCCTTGGCAGTGCTGTATTTGTCACCTCATACACCAGGCCCGTTAAATTCTGGGAGCGCGACTACAAGTATGTGTTTGGTTAAATAACCTTTGCAAGTGTGAAACTGTATATCTTACACTCTTAATATAAATTAAATCTATTTGGTTTTAATCCTAATTTGTCCTGTTTACAGCACCAAGAGGGTCGATCATTCCAATACTAGACTTGCCACCCAGTTAGACCGCAACCCAGGTATGCCACAGTGTTCCCTCCTGTCGATGCTTACCGATTTTTGTTCTGAAATGAAGGTGACAGTCTGTTTTGTTTTTATCATTAAGGTGCTGATGACAACAATTTGAACTCTATTTTCTACGAGCACCTGACCCGCTCTCTGCAGCACAGCCTCTGTGGAGACTTACTGCTCGGCCGCTGGGGGAACTACAGCACGGGCGACTGCTTCATCCTCGCGTCAGACTACCTCAACGCTCTGGTCCACATCATCGAAATCGGCAACGGCCTTGTGACCTTCCAGCTGAGGGGTCTAGAGTTCAGAGGTCAGCAGCATGCGATGTTTAGAGCTCATAAAATAGTAATGTAGTTTTTAGTTGTTTACCATCTTGTTGTGACGTGGACATCAGTCAAATGTTGTGAAAAAGTACTTATTATTGGGATGTGGTGCTGTAGCTTAATCAGTAGTTAAAAAGAGGTTTCTGATGGCACTAGTTTCCCTGGAATATAAAGCTTTAGGTGGCAGCAGACGTAGAAGTTTCTCGATTTAACTTGTCATAAAGTAAATGTTAAATAAATGTAAATGTCGTCACATTATTTCATGCCGATAGAAAAATTACACGATTGACGATGAAATTCGTACCCTGTGCAATTATGTCTGCCATTAAGTATGAAATCTCCGTGGAAAATGAAGGCTTGATTGCAGAGGAATGAGGGGGAGAGATTGAAAAGTCGTCTAAAGCCACTTCACCTTCATATTTTGAAGATTACTTTGTGTTTAAGTTCTTATAGCATATTTTTATTCTTAAAAGAGATCAGTTTCACATCTGTCGGTTTATTTTAAGGTCATTGAGGATTCAAAAAAAAAAAAGTTGTGCGTCAGCCTCTGAAGAGGTTGTCACTTGGCAAAGCGGGGCTTTATGATCTATAATGATACGACCTTAAAACCGATTATTTTTTTGGTTAAGTTTAATCTTTTTTTATTTTTTAGCTGAGTAAAATTATTCAAGGCCAAGCATTGAATGTGTGGGCAGTGAAGTGTTTCTACCTGTTCTTAATCATATCGTTCCTCTTGTTTCTCTCCTGCTGGAGTCTGTGACAGCTGCTAGAGCTGTAGGGTAAAAGATTATTAAATTTGACACTCTGACTTTGACAGTCATTTCACCAAGTTTCATTATAATGTCTCACTCTGTCACGACCAGTGAATGAGTGATTGGAGCTCTCTTTATGCACACAGCTTTTAAAGCGTTTAAAGAATATGATCACACTGTCACTGGATTCGTCGTATCTCAGAAATGCTTTGACCTATTGGAGACCTATTGGCATTTGGACACCACATCAAATAATTAGGTGGTGTTTAGCCTTAAATAAGCATAACATCTCTTATTGGTTATACCCCGTGTGACACATGTTAGCCTAATTTGGTGACTCTTAAAAACCTCACCAAGATTTTATTGATTTTAAAACTCATTAAAGTCAGTCCAAATTAGCTGAAGAGTCTCATGTGTTGACATGAAACCTATGTACAGCACCTCTTACCAGCGTAATTTTAGAAAACAAAAAAGGTCACCTTTTAACACAAGATACTTTTTCTGATTTTATCAAAGTTCATTTTCTGCAAGGGGTGGCAGTCTAAGCAGAGATATCAACATTTTCCTTTCCCCAGCGATCTCCTACAGCTCATCTGGGCAGAAACTGAGGCGTTTCCGAATTAATGGAGAGCTATAATCTCTCCAGGGTGTACTGGGTTTGCCCCAGGGCTGCCTCTCAGTAGGACATGCCCCAGAACACCTCATGTAGGAGGCATTCTAGTCAGATCCATCAAACTACCTCAAATGTGGAGGAGTTAGTGGCTCTTTTCTGAACTCTATCACCTTATCACTGTGGGAGAGAGCAGTCACCCTTCAGAGAAGCTAATTTCCACCACTTGTATCAATGATCTTGTTCTTTCAGTCACTACCCAGAGCTTGTGACCGTATGGGAGCTGGAGTAGCTAGAGATAATTGATACCTCTACCACAACAGACCAGTGCAGCATCCAGTACAGATACTGTGCCACTCTGTCAATCTCTTGCTCCGCTCCTCCTGACTCATGAATAAGACCCAGAGATACTTAAACTCCTCCACTTAGAGCAGCAACTCATCCCAGATGTGGAGGATCTCCTTCGTGTCATTGTACAGTCTTTACCTTAGAGTATAAAGCGCCTTTAGATAACTGTTGTTCTGATTTGGCGCAGTATGAATAAAATTGAATTGAGTGAAGACACCCGTTGGACCTCAGACTTGGAGGTGCTAATTTTCCTCGCAGCTGCAAACTGCCTTAGCCCAAGCTGGAGGTCACAGGCTGACGAAGCCAAACAAACCAAGAACAAAGACGAGATCCTGAGGCCACTCAAGCCAAAACAGTCAGAAACTCTGTCCATAAAAGTTTTAAACACATTATGCAGATATATATTTTTTTGAAGTTGTGTTTTCCAGGCAGATTGTGTCAGTGTCATCTGTTGGAGCCCTTTAATAGAGCAGCTAATCCTTATGTTTCACATCTTTCCAGGTACCTACTGTCAGCAGAGGGAGGTAGAAGCAATCACAGAGGGGGTGGAGGAGGATGAAGGCTGCTGCTGCTGTGAACCAGGTCACCTGCCTCACATGTTGTCATTCAATGCTGCCTTTGGACAGCGCTGGCTGGCCTGGGAGGTGGCTGCTACAAAGTACGTGCTCGAAGGCTACAGCATCAGCGACAACAATGCCGCCTCCATGTTGCAAGTATTTGACCTTCGTAAGATCCTCATCACATACTACGTCAAGGTGAGCCAATGTTGAGGAGCTGTTTTTACTCTGTTCTCACATCATGCTTTTTGCGTTTTATTGCAGTTGGTTTTGTTTACTTTAGTTGACTCGAGGCTGTTTTACTTCTGTGATGAAGAGCAAGTCATAGAAATTTAGAAGCTAAGATATGAAGCTAAAATATGCACATACTTGTAATCCTTGATGTGGATTTAAAGCTGTCTACAAAAATGTTTTCCTAGCGTGACTAGTATTTTGGATTATGTATTTGTTGTGTCCAATAGAGCATCATCTACTATGTGAGTCGATCTTCTAAGCTGGAAGAGTGGCTGACCAATGAAACAATTCAGGAGGCTTTACGACCTTGTCTCGGATCAAACTACGTAGACAGTGACCCCACCTTCAACCTGAACATTGACGAGGACTATGATCACAGAGCATCCGGCATCACCCCGTCCTCATTCTGCATGGTTTACCTGGACTGGATTCAGTACTGCAACAGCAGGCGCCAGACAGTAAGACTCCTCCACAACATTTAAACTATAACGTCACATGCGTGGGTTGCATTTGTAGTGCTTTTTCCCTTATGCTACACATATTTTGATCATAACGGATCAAGTATATCTTGCTTTCATGTGCACAAGAAGATGCTATTTGGTCGCATTTTTCTAAATGACATCTGTTGTCTTCCACTTTATGTCTGTCATTAGGATACTTTTTTCATCATTACAAACAAGTGAAATGTTTAATAACAGAAATACAGAAGGCATTAAATGTACAACATTGCACAATTTATTTGTGCTTCACTGTGTTTTAGCCGGTGACTTGCGAAAGAGATTCTCCACTTGTCAACCTCTGCTTTGGCCTCTGTATCCTGGGAAGAAGAGCCTTGGGCACGGCCTCACACAGCATGTCAGCAAGGTAAGTTCACCAGGCCGCACAACCATGTCTGTCACTGTTGCTGATGCCATGCATATATATGCTAAGAATATGGCAGATTTATTGTTGTTTTGTTTGTTTGACAGCTTGGAACCGTTTCTCTATGGCCTTCATGCACTCTTCAAGGGAGACTTCCGCATCACATCTCCTCGTGACGAGTGGGTGTTTGCGGATATGGACCTGCTGAATCGGGTCGTAGCACCAGGAGTGCGGATGTCACTCAAACTGCACCAGGTACCAGAGAAGAAAACTAGTGCTGGAGTGCCAATATTTACTCTTTTTTTTGATACTGAAGTGAGACTGTTTGTATAATCTGTGTTTCTTTCAGGATCACTTTACATCTCCAGATGAGTACGAGGATCCTATGGTCCTGTTTGACGCCATCACTGCCAATGAGGAAAAGATGTTGATATCACACGAGGGTGACCCCGTGTGGCGAAGCGCTATTCTAGCAAACATGCCTTCACTCCTAGCACTGCGCCACATCATGGATGACGGCAGTGACGAGTACAAGATCATCATGCTTAACAAGAGATTCCTCAGCTTCAGAGTTATCAAGGTCGCAGCTTGTTACGTTTAGCACTTCTTCTTTTTTTGTCTTGTTGTCTCTGACTCATCACATGCCTGGATTGTCAGATCCTCATCTCTCTTTTTTCTGCCCTCCATAGGTGAACAGAGAGTGTGTGCGTGGGTTGTGGGCGGGGCAGCAGCAGGAGCTGGTTTTCCTGCGCAACCGTAACCCCGAACGAGGAAGCATTCAAAATGCCAAACAAGCGCTGAGGAATATGATTAACTCCTCGTGCGACCAGCCCATCGGCTACCCCATTTACGTGTCCCCCCTCACAACCTCTTATGCTGGGGAACACAGCCAGCTCCGCTCTGTGTGGGGAGGACCAGTCAGCCCACACAACATTTACACCTGGCTCATCAGCAGCTGGGACAGGTGCAAATTCTTTGCTTAAATAAATGTACACATGAGCTTTAAGAGAGAGTAAACATAACTGTAACATATGTCTCCCTGCAGGTTACAGAAAGGGTGCGGGGCTGGCTGCAACAGCGGGGGGAACATAGAAGACTCAGACTGTGGAGGCGGCTCCACCTCCATCTCCACCAACCCAGCTGTTCACACCACCCAGAGTACACCAGCCTCCAGCCTTCCACAGCCACACATCACCACTGTCCAGCCCTCGATGGGTAAGAACCGAAACAGAAATGGAGGTGTTTTTGTTAGCTTGTTATGGTCACATGAAGATGAAATGTATTGCAAGTATTTTATTTTTAGGAGTTAAAAGTGCTTTTTTTTCTTACACTTCAGGCACAGACAACCCTGTTGGTCCAACCCAGAGCTGGCATCACCACCCTCAGCCTCTCCCATTAGCTCTGCTCAGCCAGTCAGAGGGCAGAATGGAGGCAGGACTTCTCTCATCCCTACAGCGTACATCCTCCATCCAGGGTCTCCTGGGCCAGCAGCTGTCCAGCTCCCAGCTCTCCTTCAGCAGCTCAGTGGCTCCTCCACCTCTGCCAGGCCCGGAGCGCTTCTGCCCAGCAAGTCTCCTGGAGAGCTCAGGGCACAGAACGGGCCAGCGGGCTGGCCTTGGCCCGGGCAGCGGACTACACTATGAGAGCCACTTTAGCAAGTGGAGTTTTTCAGGGAGGAAGGGCTTTAATGGACCAGCTTCAACGGAGGGGGAAGGAGCACCATTACAGACCATACGCACACAGGTAAGGAGACTGTCCATAGTTGTTCAGTTCTTTAAAAAGATCCAGAAATACAGATACTCACGCTCAGTCAGTACACTCTGATGCATAAATCACCTGACTCTTTCTCTATTAATCAAACAAATCCAGCAAATTCAATTTCAATTTTATTTCTATAGCACATTTAAAAGTCACAGGTACAACAAAGTGCTTCACAGACGAGCCATACTTGCAGGTTTACAGCAAAAGAAAACAATCAACAACAAAAATACAGTTATAGGATGGTACTATTGCAACAAGCATGAACCGGGAAGAAATTAAGCTAAGTAGTTTGAAAGGCAAGCTTAAACAAATGGGTTTTTAACCGTGATTTGAAAGATTGAATAGTTTCCGACGCACGGACATCAACCGGCAGGCTGTTCCACAGTTTTGGTGCAGCAAAAGCAAAGGCACGATCCCCCTTCGTCTTTAGTCGAGACATTGGTTGCATTAGGAGCCCCTGATTAGAGGATCTGAGTGCCCTTGTAGGGATATATAAATTAAGAAGGTCAATCAAATTACTGGGTGCCAAGTTATTTAAGATTTTAAAAGTGTATAGAAGAATTTTAAAAACAATACGGTACTTGACAGGAAGCCAATGGAGGTTAGCTAGAATAGGAGTGATATGATCCTGTCTTCTAGTGCCGCTTAAAAGGCGTGCTGCGGCATTCTGGACTAATTGTAGGCGTTGGATGAGGGAGAGTTGGAGGCCTAAGTAAAGAGAATTACAATAGTCCAGTCTAGAGGTTATGAAAGCATGAATGAGCCTTTCAAGGTCCTTGTGTCGTAGGTAAGGCATTGCCTTCGAAATTTGGCGTAGTTGGTAGAAGCTGGTTTTTACCACTGCAGCCACTTGCTTATCTAATTTGAGGGAACTGTCCAGCACTACTCCCAGATTTCTGACAGTAGACGATAGATGGCTGGCATAAGAACCTAAGGTCCCCGATAGCTGTTTCAACGGCATATGGCTACCAAAGACGATAATTTCTGTTTTGTTTTCATTGAGGGTAAGCGAGTTATGAAATAGCCAGTCTCTGACATCACACAGGCAGTTAAGCAACGGCAATAGCGGGGATTGGAGATCCAAATCCAGAGGGAAATAGACTTGGATATCATCCGCATAGCAGTGGAAAGAGATATTGTGATTTCTGAAAATTTTTCCCAGGGGTAGCAGATAGATATAGCCCTCCTGTTGTTAGTAAATCCACTCAGACCATTCTGTTTTATCAGATCAGTGTTTTTTGTAGAGTTGCTTACAACTGAGTATTCGCAATATGCTAAAGTAAATAATCAGGCACATGGACAAAATGGAAAAGAGGAGCTTAAGAAGAATATGCTGTGTTTCTATGGTTACTGCTTCCTAGATTTGAGTCTTGCTTATGTTAACCCCCAAAAATTGTTCCTTAAAATATTTTAATGTCTCTTCAAACCCACTCAGGGCATTTTTTTTAGAGTGTTTGGGGATATTTTAACAGACCAAATGTCTGAGGAGTTCTGAGACAACAGAACTGATAGATTGATCAGTAATGAAGTAAATCTTTAGTTATATTTCTGCCTACATGATGTCTTTACAGTAGACGGTAAGCAGACAGCAGACGATAGTCACACCTACTGAGATATTGCATTAAGCTCATTTGAACAGATGCACATATGCAGTGAGTGGCTTGTTGTTGTTCAGTAATTCAAACAGGAAGTGGTTTATAAATATGGCATGCTTTCTCAGATCATGATCCAGATTGCTCAGTGGGACGTCCTTTTTGTACCTGTGCCTGTGCGAATGACTTGATTTGCTTTTGTTTGGACCTCGATGATACAGATTTTGACAGCACGTTGAATCATTTTGTTTTGTTCAGCTGTGAATATGAAGCAGTGGGCTTTTCTTTGCCTGCCTTGTTGGTCGTGCTGTTGATAAACGCACTTAATCGTCTTCTTATTATCAATCTGTCTCTTTCAGCCTGCTCCTCCTGCATCCCTACAAGAGGCCGGTCTAACGCAAGATCCACTGGGAGCCACTCAGACGACAGATCCATCCCCGGACCCTCCCACTCCCAGAGAGGAATCCACAGAGCTGCCTTTACTTGATCACCTGCGCTGAGTCTGCACTATTGACAGTTTCTACAGTGAAAGCACACCGCAGTTGAATGTGGACCGGTCCAGTCCGGACTCATTCCAGCCTTTGGGACTCATTCCATGAACTGTTGTTGAACTAACTCAGCGCAGCCACAGTTTGGAAGTCCTCTGATGGCACTTTGAATCAAGCGTGGATCTGGGAATATACACATCACTCTTCTTGTTAGTCAAGAGAGAGCTAAACATAGCATGCTGAGCTGATGCACGTCAGACCATGAAATCATTTTAGCCAACCTGTTTATTCCAAAGTCAGCTTTCATCACAACTCGTAAGACCTGATGATGTACTCATTTTTAATTTTACATTTTTTTCTTTTCCTGACTGAGCACTCGCTGTCTCTACAGCCAACCATTTGGTTGTAAAAGTAATGACAGGCCAGTGCAAATTATAAGGGATATTTTGCTTGAGGATTGTTTATTTTTCTATACTGGAGACTAGAGGACAATCTCTAACTTGACGTCTGCAGCAGCATTAGGTTTTTTCTGTTTGTTTGGGGGGCCTCATAATAAATCCAGAAAAAGAAAAAGGACAAGTACATTGCTGTACGTGCAACTAAAGGACGTGTGGAGACCACAATAAGCCTTGTTTTTGTTTTCCCCCCACATGTAACCATCCTTGCCGGACAGTTGTGCATCAAACAATATTTCACATGACATATTGGCTAATTTCAGGAGCCTCCACTTCTTTTCCCCTGCACAAATACACATATTATATGAGGAAGAAGAAGAAAATAAAACAAGAAAACATTATTCTTGTACTCTGGCCCATTTTCCTGCAGAGGTGCCTGACTATATCAACAGTTCTGTCTTGGAGCAAGTTTCAGGGAACACCCCCACCCCCCCAAACAAAAAACAAACTCCCTTCCAGCCCAGCTGACATGTGGTGCTTTTACTGCTAGTTTACAGCGTATGTAGGCTTGGACATCGTGGAGTCCTGTATCTGACTAGCAACCTGGAGAACTTCAGACAGAGCTGGTTTCCATTAATCAGGATCAAACAGAGGACGAGTCAAATCTGTGAAAAATTGTGTTGATCACAAATTCACAAGCTGGGAGTGTAAGGAACTTTTTTTTTTAATCCTCTTTTTTTTTTTGCTTTGGTGAGTGGAATGTCTTCTATTTTTTGTTTTTTACTTGAATCTTCACGAATCCCTCGGTGTCAAATGTGCACTGAGTTTGTTTTCTTTGGATTACTGATCACTAATGTCCTCCCTGATCAGATCCAATCAGCTCATGGCTTTCTGAATAGCCGGGGTCCAGGCTGCTTTGTGAGGAGAGCTGTGTTTGCTAGGGATGCACTGATGTCTAAAATAACAGTTTGTCTGATACCCATATATATTTTTAGCTGCTTGTTTTTCTTTTGTTTTTTAAGTTACTTATCCTCCTTTTGCACCAGGGAAACAAAAGACGTCTTCATTATGAAACTATTTTAAGTCCTCCTCCTCCATCATGCTGTTGATGTGACACTACCGACAACCATTAGCCACTGGTTAACTGACCATGTGATTGGCTGATACATCAGTGTATCCCCAGTGTGCTCTTTGCCTGCAGTCTGGGCCTTTCTGTTACTATACTACTGCTTCTGCATCTCCTGCTACTACTACTATAATACCCACTACTACTGCTGTTTCTACAACAGTTAAATCCAGCGTTTTAGTTGGAAATAAACAAAAGCTGAATAAATACTGAAAGCAAAGGTGGAATATTTATTTGATAATGTCTTACAGATGTCTTTAACGGGGTTTGTCTATATGGTGTGTTGATATATTGAGTTGGAAATCTGCCTTCTGTCTACCCTCCCGCCCCCTCCCCTCAGTTTGTTTGGTGTCGTCACATTTGCACCATCTCACCAACGGCTCTTTTTGGTTATTTTTAAGTGTGGAACATAACTGGAAGTGTTCCTGAAATCGCTTTAAGTTTGTTTCTTTTCCCACGCCTTTATTTTTATTTTTTTTTACCACTGTGAAAAGCAGAAAACGGGAGAGTTTCATAAAACAAAAAATAAAAGAAAAACTTGCAGTTCTGTCAAAAAATTTTAGCCCCAGAAGTTTCCTTGGGTCCACTGGCTTTGTCCCCGACGGTTTCCGGCTCTTCGCACTGGGTGAAGAATTCTTAAACGACCTCGTGCCATAGCATGAATCGCCATATGCTGCTTTTTCCTCATAAATGATTTGTTTGGGTTTTGGGGGTTTTTTTGTTTTTGTTTTTTTTCCCCTTCCCTGCTGGAAAGTTGGATGGAGGCCAGTGTTCTCAGGGTGTATACTGGGAAAGGAACTGACTGCTTCTGCAGGAAGACTTACAATAGATGCTCCCTTTTAGTCCCTCTTTTTAAGAGATGTTCTGCATGCTGTTAAAGGCTATTTTTTTTTTTCTGCGCAGTGTCCCCCCCCCCTTCCCCATCTAGCCATTTTAAGCTTTTTAGAAGATAAAGCTCAGCAGCCTCCTCCCCCCCCTCTCTTTCTTTTAATCTTTTGAGCAGCCCTTAGTTTTTTGGGGTTTTTTCTCCTTTTTTTTTCTCGAGTGGCTGTGAAGAAACAGGTAAAAGTGTGTCAGCTTCCATCTTAAACTGCATTAGAAACTCCCACAACTCAGGAAAAACAGAGACTTTTCTGATCAGTGCTGTTTTCTGTTTTTCTTTTTTCATTTATTTTACTTCTAAACGATGGGGAGCTCGACTTTTGTTCAGTTTTGCTTTTTTTTTGCCTTTTAGTTGGAGTCGGGGAAGCACAAGTTGACAGACAGATGTGAGTGTCCAAAAAAAGGGATTTCTTAATCTCTGACATTCTGTACAGCATGTTTGTTATATAAATATATTTAAAATATAAATCTATTTTATTATTGGATTTTTTTTTGGGGGGGGGTCTTTTTACATCAAAGACACTATGCTGATGTTTAGGGGAGGGACTCTCGTGTTTACCTGTAGAAAGACACCTGAGTGGAGAGAGGCGCCCTCTCCACATCAAGATGTGCAGTTTGGGAAGAATTGGTTCATACTTCTTTTGCACAAAAATGTATCATACACCATCCCACTTTGTTATAGTTTTGTTATTTTTAGTTACTTTTGGAGGGGCGGGGTCTTTTATTTAAGAACTTTAAGTCGATGTTAAATGTTCTGTACAGTTTCTTTTTTTTATGTGATTTTTTTTCCCCCTCCTATTTAAATTAAAGGTTTTTGTCTTTGTTTGCAAATTAACTGCTGTGTGATTTTTATTTTCTGGCATTTGTCCTGTTGGTCTGTTTTTTGCTGTTGTTTTTGTCTGGAGGATTTTCAATCTTTGTCCTAGCAGCTTAAAGCCTTGTGCTACAGTAAAAACAGCACCACTGAGCGGGCACTCGGGTTTAATTAAACTGTACGCTCACCTGTCCACTTCATCGGGTAATCTGTTTAACTTCTCGTTAACACAAATGTCTCCAAGGAAAAATGGATTTGGTGTAAACAACATGATAGCATCATGTTCAGCATGGTGGTGGAGGGGTGTGGGGGATATTTTCTTGCACACTTGGTACCAATTAAGCATTGCTGCGGAGCGTGCTCATCCCTTTTTGACCACAGTGCTTCCAGCACTATGGCACTGTACTCAAACAGCTGCCACAGTCACCAGATCTCAATCCAGTGGCGCACCTTTGGCATGTGGTGAAACAGGAGATTCATATCGTGGATATGCAGCCAACAAATCTGCTGGAATTATGTGCTGATGTAATGTCACCATCAACCAAAATCTCTGAGGAATGTTTCCAGCACCTTCTGATTTGAGGCAGCACTGAAGGTAAAAGGATCCCAACCCAATACTAGTGAGGCATACCTAATAAAGTGGCCAGTGTGTGGCTGCTGAAAATATTCAAAAGCCAAAAAAATGCTCTAAAAGCAGTGTCACTGTCCTCTTACACTGAACAGTTCAACCTCGCGTCCAAGGAAAATGCTTGGTTTTCTCAAGAGATTTACAAGGAGGAGTTGGATTGAAAACCCAATGACATTTCCCACTGGCAACCTAAATTTATCGACTCTGATAATGTGCATAAATGTTCTCGCCTGATGCTTTCAGGGAAATGTAGGTATTTGTTTTATTGAGAAGTTAGATGATTCCACTCTTGTTCGCGAGGTCCATGTGAAGCAGAAGCCAGGTAAGAGCTTAGCTCAGAATTATGACCAAAAACAGGGAAAACTTACATGAAAGATGGTGACTTGACTTTGAGTGCAGTTTTTTGTCTTTGGTTAAAGCTGAGGGGATCATTGATGGTTACCTTTAAAAGCTGGTTTGGAGGAAATGAGCATAAATGAGACGCATTGCTATCACACCTTTCAGAACATTTATTTCAAAGTTTCTGATGCTTTACAGCTGTGGAGTAACATTCAGGGAACACTGGTCTGGGCTGCAGACATCTTTTACATGGATACATTAAAAAGTCCCGAAAGTCTTTGAGAAATCAAACAAAAGAGCGTTTCATCAGGGACGGCGTGTACCGTATCTCGTTATAAAACTCATCCTTGTCTCCTCTCCCCTTCCTCAACCTCCCATCCTGCCCTGTGTGATGGAGCCACAGAACGAGCACCAGCAAAGCCAGCAACAGCAGGCACATAGACAAGGTCAGCAGCACACCCTGCAGTACACCAGAGGGACTGTCTGGGGCTGGGCAGAAATACAAGAACGTTTTATCACAGGGCATAAAAACTCTGGCAGAGGGTTATGGGTGAACAAAGAGGATCTTACTGCTGTAGATGGATAAGTTGATGTAGCAGTTCTCTGTTCCCAGGGTGTTAGTGGCGGAACATCGGTACAGGCCGGAGGTCTGAGAGGACACGTTGACAATTTGAACAGAGCCCGATAGTTCACCTTAGAGAGAGGAAGACGAGTATGACGGTGAGTGCGCTGTCTTGCAAATCTCATGCTTAATATATATTAAACTTCCAGCATTATATAATGGCTAAAAAATTAGAAAGGAACACTTTTTAATCAGAATATAGCAGTTAAACTTTCTGGGATATAGATGTGGTGAGTTAAGTATCAGAGGGGGTTGTTAATCGGTTTCAGCTGCTTTGCTGTTAATGACAATAACAACAGGGGCATTGAAGGCCAACAATAAGACAACCACCAAGACAGGAATGGTTTTACATGGTGGAGGACTCTGCCATTTTTGTCCTTCTCATTTTTTCTGACTGTTTTCAGTAGTGGTTGGTGGTGTCAGACAAGCTGGGTCAGGGCCAACTGCTCCAGGATAACACATAACTATGTGCCATTGACAGAAGGTTTGCTGTGTCTCCCAGCACAGTCTCAAGAGCATGGAGGAGACAGGCAGTTACTCTAGGAGAGCAGGACAGGGCCGTAGAAGGTCCTTAAACCATCAGCAGTACCAGGATCTGATCATCTAGGCAACGG